CTTGGCTGTGGAGCCAAAAGGGGTTCCCCACCCCTAGGCTAAATAGACAAGGAGACAGGCGTGGGGGTCTCTCTGATGGACGATTCCTCTGCTGCAGCTAAGACCTGCTAGTCTCTACACCAGGCTCTGTAACCCAGCAGCATGAAAGGATAGTTGTGAAACGGCACTGGCTCTGCCCGCTTTCGCCCGCCTCTCCAGCTCAGAAAGGGATAAGGGAAGCAGGTGAAGTGAACAGACGCTTCCTTAACTCGTCACATGCCACTTCTTTCTCCAAGAAGATGAGACAAGGCTAGATGGTGTGAATCAGCCTGTCCGGGGAACAAAGCATGTTTGTACATGGTTAAAACAGAGCCATAGACAGCATCTTAAAAAGCAGGGACCTCACCTTGCCAACAAAGGTCCATATAGTTAAAGCTATGATTTTCCCAGTAGTGATGTATGGAAGTGAGAGCTGGACCATAAAGAAGGCTCATCGCCGAAGAATTGATGCTTTTGAATTATGGTACTGGAGGAGACTCTTGAGAGTCCCATGGACTGCAAGAAGATCAAACCTATCCATTCTGAAGGAAATCAGTCCTGAGTGCTCACTGGAAGGACAGATCCTGAAGCTGAGGCTCCAGTACTTTGGCCACCTCATGAGAAGAGAAGACTCCCTGGAAAAGACCCTGATGTTGGGAAAGATGGAGGGCACAAGGAGAAGGGGACGACAGAGGACGAGATAGTTGGAGCATGAGTTTGACCAAACTGCGGGAGGCAGCGGAAGACAGGAGTGCTTGGCGTGCTCTGGTCCATGGGTTCACGAAGAGTCGGACACGACTAAACAACAACAAAACAGAGCCAGAGAGCAAACTCTCTGCCATCTGCTCATATTTTTATCCAACGGGGGCTGAAGAGATTCCTCCCAAGGGAATTCCCTCAGCATGCTCCAAAGCAGGAAAATCCCCCTGCCCTGGCCCGAACCTGTCGGCTTCCCATTTGGTCTTTGGGGAGGGTCACAGTCCCAGGGCCAAACCACTTAGCACCCAGGGAAGAGCCAAGACTCCAAACACTTACTTGGCTGGGAAGCTGCCGAGATGCCTGGAATGCCACGGGGGGCCATCCCAGCTGCCCCTGGTGCCGCCTGCTGCCCCGGAAGGCTCATCTGCTGCCCCATGGGGGGCCCGAGCACACCCATCCCCTGGGGGCGAGATGCCATGCCCATGCCCGCTGCTCCTGCAGGTGGGCCGCCCGTCAGGGTCTGCAAGGCGTTCATGGGATCTGTGGAGAAAAGAAGGATCCCTGAGAAAGCCCCATGGAGATAGGCAGCAATGCGCTGAAAGGAGCTGGCCCCTGGGCTCAGCTGTTCACCCCACCACTAGTCCCAGCAGCCACATAATGACCTCAGCCCCATCCAGCAAGCTGGGCAGAGGGGGGAGGGGTCAACTTTGTTTTTGCAGAAAGCCTTGAAAAACCTTCAGAATTACTCGCTGGTTTCAGCTTCTCTCTGTTTTCTTTTTTAACCTTTTCTTTTTATACATATATTTTTAAAATAAATTTTTCTGTTTTACAATTTAAAGTACTCCTTTTTGCATCCTTGAGATATCATCAATATCTTAAGGATGTAAAAATGAGTACTTTAAAATGTAAAACAGAAAAATTAATTAAAATACATATTAAAAAAGAGATATTGGTGACTTCCCTTCTTCTGTTTCCATGGTTCATTTTACATACCATAAATGCGTGCATGTTTTACAAAAAATATACCATTCAGTATTCCATTATTACATCCATCAAAACTTATTTACACTGTTGAATTTATCTAAAAATGCTGCCGGCATTTTCAGCTGTATACGCTTCTTTTCCATATATTCAATAAATGTTTTTGAATCTTCTCTAAATGTATGTTCTTCTTGTTGCCTTATTCAATGTTAAGTCTGCACATATTCTGGCAACTTAAGTAGCCAATACTTCTTTGTTAGGACCTTGGCTCATTTTAAACTTTGAAGCTAACAAAACATGGGCCGCAGTAGTGGCATACATAAATAACCTTTTCTGACACCTGGGAATTTCAGTCTGAATTATCCCCAACAGAAAAGACTCTAGGGTTTTTTTTTCCGGGGGGGGGGGAGCACTTCTAAACTTTTTTTTTTTACCTTTTCTGTCACTGAATTGATCAGATAGAACAGAACCTGGGCCTGTCTGTGTGTCACATTTGCTTGCGACTGAGCTCTGGCAGGAAATCCAGCACAACGAGGAGACATGCCCCTGACACAGCCATCCACACCCACAGAACAGGAGTCAGAGTCCTCGGAAAGAGTTCTAAAGGAAGTAGATTAGACATATATATATTTATATATAAATAAAGGAAGGTGATGAAGGAGCCATTCTTACCACTGACGGAGGCCTGGTTCTTCTTGTTGTCTAGGAAAGAAAACAACAACAACTGAAAAATTGTGCAGGCACATTTAGGCAAGAAAAATATCAGTCTAATTGGAATAAACAGCAGATGGGGGGTTGGGGGGGAAGAATCAAACAAAAGAGCTACACACCAGACAAGTGGGTAAATAAGTAACCAAACACACCTTTGTGTTGCAAAGAGAATGTCAGCAATATCTAGGCAACACGATGACCATGTACATACGCAATAGACAATCTTTACAGAATTCCTTCAAACCAAAACAAGTACAAAATGAAATCTTTAGTCTCAAAGTCTCTGAAAACCTTTAAATGAAGCAAGGTACCAGACTTTGTACGATGAAAGACAAGCTGTGAAGCTTTGTGTATTCAGCAAATATGATGTCCAACACTGAACAGTGATTCCGGATATTGATTACTGTTTCGTCAGAATTCTTTGAGACTAAAGATTTCATTTTGTACTTGTTATGGTTTGAAGGAATTCTATAAAGTGGGTAAATAAAGCAGAGGGAGGGGTTTCGGGATAGTTTTTTGTTGTTTTACAAATACAGTGGAACCTTGGTTTACGAACTTAATCCGTTCCAAAAGTCTGTTCTTAAATCGAAACCGTTCTTAAACCGAAGTGCGCTTTCCCTAATGAGGCCTCCCGCCGCTGGTGCCCTTCCACCATTCGGATTCCGTTCTTAGATCGTGGTAGAGCTCTCAAACCGGGACACTATTTCCGCTTTTGCAGAGTTTGTAAACTGAATCGTTCTTAAACCGGACTGTTCTTAAACTGAGATACCACTGTAAACATTTTAAGTATTTATCTTATACGGGTTGCATTAACTTAAATCCTACTCAGAGTTGACACACTTGAATAAATGCACCAGTTAATCCTGTCCATTAGTTTCAGTGAATCTCCTCTGAGCATCACTAACATCATTGCCTCATTTCCCCCCAGCTTTTATTTAAAATATAATCTTTATTGGTTTTCCAAACTTCATACTTATACATATTATATTACATTTTACATTTATAGTTTGGTCCTACGAGCTGACTTCCCTCCTTCCTTCTTCTGACTTCTTTATGTCACTTGTGAGTTTTTCACATTGTCTTTATCCATTCTATATATTGTTCTTTTACACATTTGTCCATAAATTGTCCGTAAATAAATAAGCCCTTCCATATATACAATTCTTGTTGACTATCCATATATTATTTGCCACTACCATTGGTTACTCTGATTACATTGTACATTGTATTTCTTATTGTTATTATTATTATTCCCATAAAAGTATTTATGTTACACGTTATGAGGTTCATTTCAGTTCTGCTGGTTTCTCTATTTCACACACATCTTTCCTATATACAACATAAATTTCTTCCATTCTTTTTGGAATGTTTCATGGCCCTGTTGTCGAATTTTCCCGTTAATTTGGCTATTTTTGCGTACTCCATTACCTTCTGTTGCCAATCTTCCACTGTTGGCAATTGCTGTTGTTTCCAGACCTGTACTAACAGTAGCCTCGCCGCTGTTGTTGCATGTAGGAACACACACACACACCCCGCCGCTTTTTGAGGTCTTTATTATTTAAACTTATATACTGCTTGAATGTAGTAAAATCACCAAGCAGTTTATAATAAACTCTTTTCATCCCCTCATCCTATGCAGTTTTAGAATTGGTAGTATTTTATTTGATAAGAATAAACCAGATTTTTTTAAAACCAGCAACCTTGGGAAAAAGAACTCCCCCGCCCCCGAGCTGTCGGCAAACAAAGTGGTAGGGCACACAAATCAGAACGGGAAGACTTTCACTTGCGTTCACAATTTTTTTACTGATAATAATTAACTAAACAGTTTGAGGATCTATACAACTGCGTAACATGCAGAAAATAGCATTATTGGAGAAACCAAAGACTGGAACGGAGGGAAGTTGGGGGGTGGGGTGGGGGTGGGTTCTGTGGGGGGGAGGGAGGAAAAATGGGGGGGGAATAAGGATGTGTTTTTGGAAAATATGTTTTGCTATAGTTTTGAATAATAATAATAAAAAATATTTAAAAAGAAAAGGGGAAAAAAGAAAGTATTTGTCTGTTATACTGTATCTAAAAGAGCTTTATCTTTGTGGACTTGAGAGTGTTTCAACATCAAACACTTAGAAAAGCCGGATATAAAAATACTATTTGGATCAGTGCCATATTCAGGAAATGAAGAATTTCACGATTGCTGTTCCTCAAGATGTGCCGCTGAAACCAACCCCTCCATTCCGTCCCCTTTCCTTGGCTAATGCTTATTTTTTATCTCACTCTTCCCTGCCCCGACGGTCCCCCCCTCCAAGATTCGAATGGCCAACAACGCTCTCCGCAAACAGGCATGAGAGTACTCACGGATATCCCGAAAGTGGATGATGAGTCTTGCCACCAGGGAAAGATACTCCTCCTAAAAGTTAAGAGAAATGAAAGTGCATTTTAGAAGCCAGGGAGGGAGGGTTGGAGGGCAGGGTGACTCTGACTCATTTCCTCCTCCTCCTCCTCCTCCTCCTCCTCCTCTCCCTCTAGAAGAGCAAGAGAGCCCCCACGCTGGCAGAACTGAAAGGGCAGGGTGCAGTCTGCATAAAAAGATCACTGTATTCAACTGCAGAAAGGGGATGCTTAACTGGGCAGCATGTAAACATCAAAAATAAAAATGGAATAACTGTGCCAGGCAGAAAGCCAAAATGCAGAAGGGGTAAGGCACAAATCCCTTGAAAGGATCTGGCTAGAATTTTAACATGCCACCAGGGGCGGGGGGGAAGGGGAGGGTCCCTGGTGGGACCAACACCTATCAAGGCAAGGCTCAACTTTCCCAGCTCGCCAGGCACAGAAAAGCATCACCTGGACCCATATGCCCATTGCTGCGGTAGTCATTCCGCCTACACAGCAGCAAATCAGAGATGGGGCAGGGGGTGTGTGCGGACGTGTTTGCAAACAGGGTGTACACATGATGCATGTGGAGTGATGGGGGGAGGGGACAGATGGACAAAAGAAGATGCGAGCAAACTTCCCACTATAGTCATACCTTGGTTTTCAAACAGCTTAGTTCTTGAACGTTTTGGCTCCCGAACCAAACCACAGAATGACTGTTCTGGTTTGCGAGCCATTTTTGGAAGCCAAACGTCTGATGAGGCTTCCGATTGGCTGCAGGAGCTTCCTACAGCCAATCAGAAGCCGCGCTTTCATTTCCGAACGTTTTGGAGGTTGAACGGACTTCCGGAATGGATTCCGTTTGACTTCCAGGTTACGACTGTACCCAGGCTCTAAGGAAGTCAGACTATCCTCCACCAGGGCCAGGGCCTTTTCAGTGATGGCTCCGAGCTGGTGGAATGCTCTGTCCCATGAGACTAGGGCCCTTCAGGATTTAACCTCCTTCCGTCGGGCCTGTAAGACAGAGCTATTCCGTCTGGCATTTAATTTGAATTCAGCCTGATCTTTTACTTCCCTTCTCTTCCCTCTCCTTCCCCTTTTATGAAGATTACCCGCTCTGAGACCCCACAGCTTAATTCTCCCATGGCCTCCTCACTGGCCCATGTAGGACTAATTCAGGCAGCTAGCCCTGGTGACTATCTAATGCTTATTGGATGGATTTCCCCCAAATTGATTTTTGAACTTTGAATTTTATTGTTATTGATGTTTTTATACTGTATTTTATGCTGCTTCTATGTTGTATTACAATTAAGTTTTTAAAATATGTTGTTAGCCGCCTGGAGCCCGGTTTTCGGAACCAGGAAGGATTATTTTTATTTTTATTATTATTATTATCTCACTAGTGAAACGCAGGGCAAACTGCAACGACTCCAGAACCAGCCACAGCGAAAAGAGACGCCTCTCCCTCACCAGTCTGTAGTATTTTGCAGGGAACAGGAGAGGTAGAAGATACAATGGGAAATGGCTGGAGCTCCCACATAGAGCATCTCCTATGCATGCAGAAGGTCGCAGGTAGGGCTGGGAAGGAACCCTGCCTGAAAACCTACACAGCTGCTGCCAGTCAGTGTAGATGATACTGAGTCAAGTGGACCAAGGCAGTTTCTGTGTTTGCCCCTGTGGGAAAGATTTGGGACTGGAAAGGGGACATGGTGTCTTCCACTTGGGCAGAGCTGCAAAGCTTATGAGGAAGGGAGGGACTAACCAAGGAAGCCACAACTGTTCATAGACGGGCAACTGGCAGAAGACGGGATGCCCACCAGGGAAGTGAAATCAGCTGTTCTGACAGTCACCTGCCCAGCCAGGGTTTCCCACTTTCCTCCTTCACTCCATAGTGGGAAGGGCAGGAGCTCAGGGGGTTGCATGCAGCAGGTGCCAGATCCAATCCTTGGAAGCATCTCCAGGAAGGGCTGGGAAAGACAGCTTGCCTGAAACTCCAGAGAGCAGTTGCTGCCAGCCAGGGTCATCAGTTCTGAGCTAGCTGGACCAAGGGTCGGACTCCTCGGAAGAGGGCAACTGGTGCTTCAACCCCAAAATCGCTAGAGCCTGGACCTTCTCTCTCTCCTGCCTGCCCTTCACTTTCACCCTTGGCTCCTTCTCCTTACCCGTGATTTGGCCTTCAAGAAAACGTGGTTCTCCATCTCTTTGCTGCTCTTATTGTGAGCCACTCCAGCATTCCGCATGCTATCTTCACTGCAAGAAGGAAAAGACAGAGAGCAGCTGAAGCGCCAGAATCACAACCGCATGGAAAGGAGGCACCTTGAAAACAGGGCCCACTCCACAGGCTATTTCTGCTCAGCCCTTCTGTGGGTGAAGTTCAGTTTCTTTTGAAAGGCGGAGGCCCCGGCCCAACTTCAGAAGAAATCATACAAGCGCATCAACCCCACAACACTCGCTGACGCACAAGCAACCCACAAACACACTTCCACACCTGCCCTAACAGGACTTGAGCTTTGTCTCTTCTGGGCACAGGCTCTCCCTTTTCTTGTAGGTAAAGGGACCCCTGACTGTTAGGTCCAGTGGCGGATGACTCTGGGGTTGCAGCACTCATCTCGCTTTATTGGCTGAGGGAGCCGGCGTACAGCTTCCGGGTCATGTGGCCAGCAGGACTAAGCCGCTTCTGGCCAACCAGAGCAGCACACGGAAACGCCGTTTACCTTCCTGCCGGAGCGGTTCCTATTTATCTACTTGCACTTTGACGTGCTTTTGAACTGCTAGGTTGGCAGAAGCAGGGACCGAGCAACGGGAGCACACCCCGTCATGGGGATTCGAACCGCCGACCTTCTGATCGGCAAGCCTTAGGCTCCGTGGTTTGGACCACAGCGCCACTCGCGTCCCTTTCTTGCAGGTAAAGGTACCCCTGCCCGTACGGGCCAGTCTTGCCAGACTCTAGGGTTGTGCGCTCATCTCACTCTATAGGCCGGGAGCCAGCGCTGTCCGCAGACGCTTCCGGGTCACATGGCCAGCGTGACAAGCTGCATCTGGCGAGCCAGCGCAGCACACGGAACGCCGTTTACCTTCCCACTGGTAAGCGGTCCCTATTTATCTACTTGCACCCGGAGGTGCTTTCGAACTGCTAGGTTGGCAGGCGCTGGGACCGAACGACGGGAGCGCACCCCGCCGTGGGGATTCGAATCGCCGACCATGCGATCGGCAAGTCCTAGACGCTGAGGTTTTACCCACAGCGCCACCCGCGTCCCTTTTCTTGCAGGTAGCAGGAATTAAATAAATATTTTATTAATTTTTATTTATTGATGATATTTCTAAGCTGCTTAATATCCAGAATCCCCAAGCAGTTTACATCAAACAACTGGGGGTTGTTTCCAGTGACATGGTTCCATTCCCACAAGCAAACTTCCCCTTCTTGGGGGACCCTCTGTATCAGATTTTGCAGGCACCAAGGGAGAGGAGAGGAAATCCAGGATGCCCCTCCCCACACAACATCAGAGGCACCCCCAAAAGCCAACCTTTAAATACCTGTGCGACAAAAGGCACAGTGAAATATCAAGTAAAACGAAAGCAGTGTCAGAATAGCCTTGACACCTATGCTGTCACAACAAAGTAAGTCTTTTTGACTGTTGCTTTCATTTTTCCTTTCTATTACTTGGACATTTGGCTTTGCTGGCGTAAAAAGATACTTCTTGCTAAAAACACCTTATCGCTATGTGTTTAACAGGAACATTCCATCTCATGCAAAACTGGAACAAAAGGCACCCAACACAACTTGCCCCAGACTGAACAATATTTCTTCAATTGACGTCAAAAATAAATGATAAAATAGCCTTCCCAAGATGACTTCCACCCTGTCTACATCACACCTGTGTTGGATATGGTGCAAACTGGTACCCCATCAGAGCACACCAATACTGTAGTGTGTTAATGACAGTCTGATGACAGTGCAGGACACAGAGCTTCCTCTCTGTCCTCGGGCTGATGAAAACTAGAAGAGAAACACACATGGGAACCAAAGCACATAGCTAGCAAGGTAAAAGGTAAAAGTAAAGAACGCCCGGACGGTTAAGTCCAGTCAAAAGTGACTATGGGGTTGTGGCGCTCATCTCGTTTTTAGGCGGAGGGAGCCAGAGTTTGTCCACAAATAGCTTTTCGGGTCATGTGGCCAGCACGACTAAACCGCTTCTGGCGCAATGGGACTCCGTGCCAGAGTGCACGGAAATGCCGTTTACCTTCCTGCTGCAGCGGTACCTATTTATCTACTTGCGCGAGTATGCTTTCAGACTGCTGGGTTGGCATAAGCCGGGACAGAGCGACGGGAGCACACCCCATCATGCAGATTCGAACCACCAACCTTCTGAACAGCAAGCCCAAGAGGCTCAGTGGTTTAGACCACAGCGCCACCCGCATCCCTTTACCTTTATGGCTAGCATGCTTCTTCTAAGAGCCTCAAATGCACTTCATCTCCAGACACAAGCATCCAATCCCCTACCCCAGGCCAGAATGGGTTAAGGCAGACCACCCCAGATAAGCCGGTAAGAGGAAGGGGCAACCATACCACAATACCTATGAACTGATGCAAATCTCTCTCTAGCCCCTTTGCAATTTGTGAATAATGGGGCTTTCTGTTTTGTTCTTACACTTCCCCCCCCCAAAAAAGTGGGGTGTGCTGCTCCCACATATGGAAAACACTCCCTCCAACACGTAGGCAAGTTCTCTCTTCACAAAGGCCAGGAAAACGGATGGACGCTTTTGCCTTGCAGGCCCCCAGCCTGGATGCAAGGAGCAGAAGTAGGTGTCCCTGCTCAGAGTGCCATTGCCATTTCTGGGGAGAAGGGGAGAGGACAATCAATCACACCAGCCTCCCATCCCGCATGATAGCAGGGTGATTGAAGCAGAGCACTCATGTGGCAACCCAAACACTTTCAACGCCTCTAGGCTCAGGGACTCTGTGCTCCTGCTGCCGAGCATGGCTTGTGATCTATGGCCTTCCCTCGGGTTCTCCAGATTGGCAAGCAAGCAGGCCAGCTTCTGCCACCACCAGAGACTTTGAAGCAGCTATTTGGGACAACCGCAGATAACAAACCTTCCAGTAGGGTTTGCCTACCCAGCAAACTAGCAAGTGAGATTCCTAATGTGGATTGCCAGTGGGCAGAAGAAAAAGCCAGACTAGCACCCACAGGCACTGGGCTAAGTGACTCAACCATCTTTTGGGATGTGGGACTGTCCCTTGGATGTCAGGATGCACACGCCCTGATTGGATTGGTGACCATCTGCTTTATAGAGCGTGCTGGAGACGTAGTTGCCATCTTGAGATTTCTTTTTCCCCTCCCCTCTTTGGTTGAGAAGGGCAAGGCACAGCAAGCCACTGCAGGACCCAAAGCAGAAATAAAAACCCAACGATGTATGTCTAAATCAGCAGGCTTTCCAAGGGAAAAGATCCCACCGGGAGCTGATCCCTGAGTCAAGCCTCCACCTGCCAAGGAATTAGAACCCACATACACATACTCCCTCAGGATCTCTTCCCTTCCAGGCAACCCTCTCCTCTGTGGGTCAGTGTGGCCCCGGAATGCCTGCCCAACGCATATCCTGCTGTGGCTGCGAGGGCGCCTGGCCTGCCTTGCACAACGCGCCCTTCCTCAGGGAGGACGGGACGTGATGGGGGCCAAAGTCTGGCGGACTACAGGCGACGGTAGGTGGCATAGCTGCCAAGCGTCCCTTATTTGGCGGGGCAGTCCCTTATCCCAGCGCCATGTCCTGCTGCTGTCCCTTATTGATGATGTCCCTTTAATAAGCTACTGAAGGTGATGGGGCCCTTTCTATGTCCAGCTGTCCTTTGTCAACAACAAATTGTTGCTGTTTTTTGTGTTGAATATATGCTATATGGTAATTTATGGACCTAATAGATATCGAAAGCCATTTGCATGCAACAAAATATATATTTTATGAAAGTAATTGTTGATCCCTTATTTTGGCTGCTGATCCCTCATTTTCGAGGCTGCTGGTCCCTTATTTTCAAATCTGTAAGTTGACAGCTATGGTAGGTGGGCTTTGCAGGTGGGCCTCCATTCAGCCAAGTGAAACAGGGCTATGGAGCCAAAATCCCTGTCCCTCCAAGGGGCCCTTTTCGAAGAAGACTGCGTCCAGAAATGGGCGAAGAGGGCGAGCGGGGGGGGGGGACGGGAAGCCGCCGCTTCCTCCCCCACCCCCATCAGGTTCATTTCAGCATCCCTCCCGTAAAATCTGGCGGGGCAGTCGCGGGTTGCGCCATCCCGGGACCCGATCTGGGGCATCTCCACGCCACTCACAGCCTCCAGGATGGCCTCGAAACGGGCAGAGCCGGCTCCATCACCCGGCCCGTATCGCCGGCCCAACCAGGCCAGAGGCTTCCTGCTGCTGCTGCTTCCGCCGCTCCTGATACCGGGGCTGCCCGTGAGGCGCGGGAGCCGAGGAGCCGGCCGAAGCTGGTCCTCCGGGCCTCCCCTTCCCTTTCTCCCCTCCCTCCGCGGACTCACATCTGGCTGACGAGCTTCTGCCTGAAGTTGGCGCTGCGCCAGTCGTTCTCCTCCATGCCGAGGCCGCCCGCCGCCTCCGCCGCCGCCGCCGATCCGAGGGCCGAGCGAGCTGAGGAGATACTGACTTGAGCGAGCGGCGGGCGCAGCGACGCTTCTTCCGGCCACCGGAAGTCGCTCGACGAAGCGCGCCTCCCCCGGAGCACGACGGGATAGGTAGTTCGCGGGCGCTCAAAGCGCGTTTCCGAGGCAGCGGGGGCTTCTGGGAAGCAGGCGGCTCAGAGACTGAAGGCTTCCGGGCGCATGACATTTCCTTGCCCCCCCCAGGCTGATATGCGCGTGCGCCGCCACGCCCCCTAAGAGGCGGGTCCTCCTGTGCGCGAGGAGGGCGGCGGAGGCGGATGTGGGAGGGAAGCGACGTTCTGGCCGAGCCGCCCGTTTCTGTGGTTCCCGGCAGTTGAAACCGGAAGGAGGCTCAGGTCGGGGGAGGAGGGCGGTGGCAGCGGCCTCAGATGTGTCTGTGCCTTCCCGCTTGGCTCCGTCTGCGGGCGCCTCCTGAGCATGTGCAGAGCACAAGTTGACCCCGAGTTCAGGCCGTGGAGGGGCCCGAGGCGGGGCTTCTCCGCCGCCTTCTTACTCGGAGAGAGCCTTGTTTTGCTTCCGCGTCAGACGTGGCCTCTTCACCCTCTTCCCCTCCTGACCTCAAAGTCCAGCTCCTCGCCCGGTTCCTCGGAGAGTCCTTTATCTCTCTCCTCCTCCCTCTCGGATGTCTTCACTCATACCCCTCTCTAAGCCAATTTTATTTTTATTTTTTTGATATATATAACGTCTTGGAAGTTCTTCCGTGGGCTCAGAGGGAAGGAGGGTGGGATGACTAATAAATAAGGTTTCGAGTCAGAAAACCCAACATTTTCCTCTGCAAATTGCTCTACAGGAAACCCCTAAACTGCTTTCCTTGCGTCCCTGGAGTCTTTGCCTGGAATGGCAGAAGATCAGGAGCTGGCCAAGCCAGCCAAGACTCTCCCGGAGCCCTTGGCCAAGGGGGGCTCCGGCAACACCTACCGTAGTGCGCAACACTCCCAGGCTTTACTGAATGGCTTGGTGGCTCTCCGGGACAGCGGCATCCTCTTTGACGTTATCCTGCGTGTGGAGGGGAAGCCGATCGAGGCTCATCGGATCCTCCTGGCGGCGTCATGCGATTACTTCAGGTCTGTCTGGAATGGAACCGAAACGGTATTATGCATGAACTGGAAATGTTTACGTTTAGTTCTGAAATTTATGCACAAATCGCTTGTGGTGCTCTTCAGTAAAATCTTAGCACACTGTGGAGGCTGAACATCTGTGCCTCACAGTGGCCACCCAGATGCCCTAGGGAAGCCCACAAACAGGGTGTGAATGCCATAGCAGCACTCCTCCCTCCTGTGCTTTCCAGCTACTGGTATTCAAATCATGACTGCTTCCAACTGATGAGGTTTAATGGGAAATTGGTGCAGAGTAGAAATAAATAAATAAATGTCAACATTAGAGTGGTGCAGAGTAGAAAGCTAGGCAATAACCTGTGGAAAGAAGGGCCAATAGAGCAAGACCAAAAACTGCTCCCACATCAACCGAGTCATTGCATTGCTCATAGAATTATAGAGTTGGAATGAACCCAAAGGTCATCTAGTCCAACCCCCTGCAACACAGGAATCTCACCCAAGATGCCCTCATTCCCCTTCTCATATAGTTGCACCTCAACTCCCATAGGCTCCTGCCTCGTTGCCAGTGGTTGGGGAAGATGGGTGTTTGTAGTCCAAAATGCTTGAAGGGCACCGAGTTGGAGAAGGCTGGCATATAATGGTGGTGATATGGAACCCACAAACATTTCCCTTATGCAGCTGAAGTGAACCTCCATGAACAGAAGAGCAGGTCCCACACATTCGCACCTGTCCCAACAGCTCCTGCCTAACACATCTGTGCCCATACCAGTCCACTTTTAAACCAGCCAGCTAGTGGGATGAATAAGGCTGAAATGTACCAAGCAGGTCTGATGACCCACAGTCCATACAGCGACCCAAGCACCCAGTGGGTCTCCTCCAGAGGGGCTCCCCTAGCCCTGCCTGGAGATGCTGCTGGGGGTTGAACCTAGGACCTTCTGCATGCAGAACAGATTCTCCAACACTGATCCCCAGTCGTTGACATTGGTCCAGCCAGCCTCTTAGCCTGACCTGCTTCTTGTGTGGCTGCTATGAAGGCTAAGTGGAGTATCTCTGTACAAGGTGCTTAAGTTCCTTGGAGGAAGGAGTACAGCATAGAAATGGGATCAGTAATTGCCCCCATACACGACCTGGAAGCCCTGAGCAGGTTCCTTTCTGGAAGCATGACTGAAAGCAGCTCTTTCCTTTAATAGGGGCATGTTTGCTGGCGGACTAAGAGAAATGGAACAGGAAGAGGTCCACATTCAGGGTGTGTCTTATAACGCCATGTGTCAAATCCTGAACTTCATATATACTTCGGAACTGGAGCTTGGCCTCAGCAATGTGCAGGAAATACTGACTGCCGCCTGCCAGCTTCAGGTGAGAGAGTTGGCAGTTCTGAACGGCTTGTTGGGGAAGGAACATGGCAAAGCCCAAAGTTCCTTTATGGCAGGCTCTGTGGATGGTGGATTGGTCAGAGGTACCTCTCCACCCAGCTTTGTGGGCCTCTGGTGGTGGCAGCCCATGCAAAACCCCATAACAGCACATGCTGGGAACGGGGGGAATCTGAGCTGGTCCCACTGCCCTAGCTGGAGCATCACAGGGCCTCATCTGGGTCTGGCTGCTGCACCTGCTTTAAGCTACCACAGCTGCTTACCTTACATCTTGGCTAGTATGAGCAGTAGGGCTGCAGATTGGTCCTGGCTCTGCTGCTCTGTTAAGCACCACCACTGCCCAGATGAGGATTGGATTGCAGCCCAACCCTTTGAACTTGTTAGTAGGAGCATTGGTACCCCACTCTTCATCCTAAAGGGCTCTCAGAGTGTCTTACATACAGTCAAAACCATTCAGGCTTACAGCCTAAAAAAACACAGAACACAAGGGGAAAAGGACAGGGAGGGAAGAGGAGAATAAAAACAAAAACTCAGACACCAATTTATAAACAACTCTTCCTATATTGACCAGCTGGCACAGTTCAGGGGCAGGAGGCGCCTGGTAGAGGTGGGCCCTGTTTCCTACAGGTGAGCCCTGTTTCCCACCTCTCCTACTGAGGCAGCCTGATGGAATGGCTGCCCCGAGGAACAATTGAAGGGTGAGGAGCCGCAGAGCCGATGGAGTCAGATCTGCTTCCCAGCTCTCCCACTTCTGCTCTTACAGCCAGCAGTGCCACAGAGGCTCCCAGCTACGAGGGTTTGCTTGACCCTGTTGCTTCCTTTGATCTAAAGACTGGTTCGCTCTCCTTTTCCTACACGGATGTGCCATGACTCTGGCTCAGCCTCCATCACCTTGGAATTAAAAAAATGTTTCCACTCACAGTGCCGCTTGCCAGTTCAGTAGATCTTGACCTGATTTCTGTGCTTCATTAGCAAAATATGAACACAGGATTTGGACTTTGTTCGCAAAATTCTGCATGCTATGGGTGGTTTTCGATCCTATTGGAGGGTAGGGTTGGAATCCCTCGCAGCTCCATATCAGAGGGGCTCTTTTTCTTTCTCCTTTGCAGATCCCAGAGGTTATCAAGTTCTGCTGTGACTTCCTCATGTCCTGGGTGGACGAGGAGAACGTCTTGGATGTGTACAAGCTGGCCGACCTTTTCCACCTGAGCCACCTGAGTGAGCAGCTGGACTCCTACGTTCTGAAAAACTTTGTCACTCTCTCCAGGACAGAAATGTACCGCCAGCTTCCCCTGGAAAAGGTCTACGCCCTCCTCAGCAGCAACAACTTGGAGGTCAGCTCTGAGAATGAGGTTTACGAGGGGGCCCTGCTGTACCATTACACTCCAGAGCAAGTGGAAACGGATCAGGTCTCCTTGATGGAGCCCCCAAAGCTGTTGGAGACGGTCCGCTTCCCCTTGATGGACTTTCCTGTCCTGCAGAGGCTTCACAACAAGCTCAGCCCGTGCCCTTTGAAGGAGACAGTGGCGAGTGCTCTGATGTACCACAAGAACGAGTGCCTGCAGCCCATGATGCAGAGCCCCCACACTCAGCTGAGGTCTGAGTTTTGCTGTGTGGTGGGCTTTGGGGGGATCCACTCCACCCCTTCCACAGTCGTCAGCGACCAGGCCAGGTATCTGAACCCGCTGCTGGGAGAGTGGAGGCACTTCACAGCAGCCTTGTCCCCCAGGATGTCTAACCAGGGAATTGCAGTCCTCAACAACTTTGTCTACTTGGTCGGGGGAGATAACAACATCCATGGCTTTCGAGCAGAAAACAGGTGTTGGAGGTAAGAGCCGCTATTTGTGATGCTACCTTTCTAAGTGACTGGCAAGTGGTGTTGTCCCATTAGGTTTCAGTCCTCAACACCCTTCAGCATTGAACACGGCGAGACGTGCATCAGATTGCCCTGTTAATCAGGAAGCTGCTTTCTTGGCATCCTCAGAGAAGGGGAACAACCCAAGCAACTTCCTGGTCCCTCATATAGGGCATTGACAAAGAATAAAACCACGCCTAGCTGGGTGTGAAGGGAGGTGTTTTTATTTATCTCCTCTTCTGACGCTATCCCCTTCAATGTTTTCTGAGCTCTGTAAACAAGGTGCTTCATGCCTCAGGCTTACTGTGATTTATTGTTGCCTCAGGCTCCTGGCTGCCTCCTTCCAGCTCAGAGCACATTGAGGGCATGAAACATGAGATGGCTGATATGATGCAGCTCAAAGATACTGCCCAGTGAGCTTTTGACAGCTGTGGAGTGACTGGAGTGATTAAATCTCTCTCTCTCTTTCCCTCTCCTCCTCTCTCTCTCTCTGACAGTCCTTGTATCTGTAAAGCAGGGATAATTCTATCTGCATACACAGGACATACTAACCCCTGAAATTATATTTCTGCCTATTAAATGTAACAAAGACTGAACTATTTTGGTAGCATAACAATGGCAAAAAATGGAATTTTGTCCACTTATTATCTACAGGCATTGAGAGGGGAGCATGTCAGAAAATGCACCCAAACATACATGCATTTTGGAACAGTGTTGTTCCATCATATTTTCATATCGGGGTTGAGATGGGGAAATTGTTCCCCTTGAGCGAATATTAATCTGGAAAGGGATTAATCTCTCAGTTAAAACTGGGAAGATCACACAGTGAGTGCAGCTGCCCTAGTGCTGTGTTCTTTTCTCACAAAGCAGAGCTAGGGCGGCTATAGTCAGACGTGCTGCAAAGACTGGTGGTTCTCTCTTTGAAACGCCTGGCAAGAGCAATAGAGGGAGTGGCTGGTGGGAGGACAGGCGGATGCACTTGGAAGCAATGGGATGCAGGGAGCACTTAGAGCCTGTGGTCACCATCCATCCCTGGCACTTGTGCTAGGAGAGCTGTGCAGATTGGCCATCCTCTTCCTTTGCAAGGTACGACCCACGCCACAACCGGTGGTTCCAGATCCAGTCTCTCCAGCGAGAGCATGCGGACCTCTGCGTCTGTGTGGTGGGAGAGTACATCTACGCCGTGGGAGGACGGGACTACCACGAAGAACTGCGGGAAGTGGAAAGATACGACCCCAAAACCAACACCTGGGAATACGTGGCCCCTCTCAGGAAGGAGGTAAGGAGAGGAGAAGGCAGGAGTTGGGCAAGTGGCCAGGGAAAGCAGGAGCTTTTCCAACATCACAGGGGCACCTGGGAGATCCGAAGCATGGCGCCGTCTAGGCTGAACCCTTGAGTGGGCCAGCAACCACCAGGGAGGTTTGGGTTGGCGTGTTTTCCATAAATTTTGCTAATGCCATAACGGGTTGCAGGGAGCACTGCTTGTGGGCTTTCCCATTAGGGCATCTCATTGGCCACAGTGAGAACAGGATGCTGAACCGGATGGGCCATTGGCCTGATCCAGCCAAACTATTGTTATGATCAGCATTCACTTTCCTAAACATCGTACTTTGAGGAGGTGGGGAGTACCTTGAGGTTGCAGAAATGTGGAAATAAGTGATAGTCGAGGTACAGAGCAAAGTTGGGGTTGATGGGGAATTTTGGAGAATAAGGAAGGCTACGCGGTTATTAATGGCACAGAAATTTGACAGCTGAATTTAGTGCAGAATTTACGGGATGTCACAAGTGTTGGGGCAGGCGGTGGACAAGGTGTCGTGAAGGTTTCTGCATCACCTGGCACATGAAAAGGGTTATGATACGTGCTCAAAGCGACTTCCTGGGAGCGGTGCCCAAGTTTCTGTTTGGTGTTTGATCCAAGGCAGACATAAAAGAGGAACGGCCCCCTGTTGCCCTGACCCACCGGCCCAAAGGTGGGCTCATGGGAGTGGTTTGGCACAGGGATACCAAAGGAGGATGTCGAAAACGCCAGAGTGATCAATTCTTGTGCATTATTATAAGAAAGAGCGTTCTCCTTTGGAGAGGGAGGTGTATAAATTGGGAGAGGGGTGATTTACACCAGAAAGCCAGGTTTAAGCCATCAATCATTTGGAGGTCAAGCTCTGAGAATTGCCTCCAATTCCAGTCCTGGGAATTTCGGCTAAATATCTCCACATGGCTTCATTTGCTGAAGGTGGAGGTGGGTAAGCTTTGCTGGCATCACCTGACTCCTCCCTCTCTTCTGTTGACGCAGGTTTACGCACACGCCGGAGCCGAGTTGGACGGACGGATGTACGTCACTTGTGGGAGGCGAGGCGAGGACTACCTGAAGGAGCTGCACTGCTATGACCCTGTAGACAATCGCTGGGACAGCCTGGCCGACGGTCCTGTCCGGAGAGCCTGGCACGGGATGGCAGCCCTGCTGGGCAGGCTGTACGTGATTGGAGGGAGTAACAACGACTCTGGCTACAGGCGGGACGTTCACCAGGTGAGGAGGCAGCTACGCTCTGCCCAGGGGCTGTATCCAACGCAGAGTAGGTCCACGGCAATCTAGAGACTGGATTCAGTGGACCTCCTCTGAGTATGGCTTAGCTGGCCACAAGCCATGAACACCCAGGGCTGGTTTTGTTCTGTCTGCCTGACTGTTAACTTAAAACACCAGAAGGTTTGGGAGCCTCTCCTCCAACTTCTGTGAGGCAGCTGCAGGGGGAGAGGAGCCACAAGCCCTTGCTAGGACTCCCTGGTGGGGGGGACTTGTTCTCCATCATGACCAGAGACGACCTGTTGCTTTTGCCTCCCTCCCAGGTGGCCTGCTATTCCCCCAGCACCGCTCAGTGGACCACTGTGTGCCCTTTGCCTGCAGGGCATGGCGAACCCGGCATTGCCGTCCTGGATCACATGATCTACGTTTTAGGGGGCAGATCCCACAACCGGGGGATTCGCATGCATTACGTCCACATTTATGATGCTGACAGAGACTGCTGGGAGAGAGGCCCTCGGCTAGAGGACAACATCTCTGGGATGGCCGCCTGTGTCCTCACCCTGCCCAGGGCCGTTATCACGAATGCCGAGAGGTGGACCCCTGAACGGCAGCAAAACAGGCTCCAGAACCACCCAGACATTTCTTCAGAGGTCATGAGCATGTTAGATTGGGAGGAATTTGACCATCTGAGTGACAACTGAGCAGCACTTGAGGCTCCAGCTGCCGCAAGGGAATGGCATGCAAGCCTCTTTGCTTTCTGCTTCTTCTTCCCCGCAGCTGAGCTGGGTGGTGTGGTTCTCCTGATTTTGGAGGAGCTCCTTAGCCCCACTGACTGTGTGGGAGGAGGCAACCTGGTCCCCTCATCAGGCCTTGTTAGCCTGCTGCCAACGAGGCCAGAAGCCAGCCATTGCAAAAGGGGGGCCTGGATTTCTGGCTGGTGTCACTCTGATGTGCAGCATGGACACTTTGCTTTGGAGGGAGGCTGGGTCGTATGGTGCCCCCACACCCCTGAACCACTGGAAGGCTTTAGGAACAACTGGGTGGATCTTTGGTAGCAGCCAATCCATGTTTTTAATATGTGGTGACTTTCTGTATTCTAAGATAGGGTTACTAGATGTCCTCATTTCCCGGGGACAGTCCCCAGATTTGCAAATTTGTCCCCAGACAAATTCCATCCCTGGAATGTACCCGGATTTCATCTGATGTCCCCGGGAAGCGTTGCAGCAGCGGCAGTCTCAGCAGCCCGGAGCCAGCCTGGTAGCAGGAGCTGCCCGCTGCCGTGGCGCTCGCCATTTTGCCTCACTGGAAGTCCCCATATGGTGTGTTGCGCACAAGACACATCATATGGGGACTCGGTGTAGGGGCTGCAGATGTGGTGGTGGGCGCCGCCGCCAGGTGAAAGCTGCATAGGGCCGCTGAGCTCGGTGCGCCACTGCAACTTGGCGCTCAGCTCGCCGTCGGCACCGCTGCCCAAGACCGCCGGCTCCGGTTCCAGCTCAGCCTCCAGGTGGTGCTTGGGCAGCTGCGGCTGCTGCTCGGCTTCGCCGTTGTGCTCCTCAACTTGCAAGTGGCGGCTCAGCTTGTTGGCCAGCTCATCATTGAGGTGAGCAGGCCCAAGCACGCCTCCTCCTGCTCGCTCCCCTCCGGCTCCGCCCCGGACCCCCTGACTGGGCGCTCCACAGTGCAGGTGGGCGGTCGCCAGACGATGCCTGCGCAGGAGACGCCCAGACAGGCGGGCAGGGCAGCAGCAGGAGGAGGGGGGTTCTGCTAATGCTTACTCCTGAGTAAGCCTGTAGGAGATCACAGTACAAGGAGGGGGAGGGAGGGAGGGGGAAAGCACAGCTACTTCTCCAAGAAAGGCTGGGACCCAGAAGAAGGCCACACAACAGAGGAGACCACAGAAGAGAAAATATTACTTCTTGATTTTTTAAAATAACCTTTTTCCTCTTTTTTTTTTAAGAAAAAATATTATTTTATTTTTATTAATTAATTGATTGATTGTGTCCCCATATTCATTGCAATAAATCTGGTAACCTTATTCTAAGAGGCCTTCAACGATTTTTCCAGCAGAGCAAATGCAACCAGCGGTCATCTTTTTCTATTGGAAGAGGGGCCTTCTGCCTGCCCCCTGCCCCTGGAAGCAAAACCTTCATTTTGCTGCTCAGCTAATTCAGCTCTTCCCCGAGCATCAAATGTTCCGCATGAAACATTCTAGTAGCTGCAAAAGCCAAATAACTCGGCCAAGAGGCAGAGGTCTCCCCCACCACGCCATTGCTTCTCTTTTTGTGGGGGTTGCTGCCTGTCCTGCCAGCTGTACTTCCCACTGATGTCCATGACTGCAGAGGGAAGTAGCTAGTTGTAATAGGTGGAAAGAGGTCTCCGGTATTCTGTTAGCGTTTTTGGTACATTTATTCAAAAAGGTTTGTATGTTACAGTATTTCTAGTGACAGCTTCTCTAGCCCAGGCGAAAACACTGTTGTGTGTTAGGATTGGGGGGTGGGGGGAGAGATAACACCCTCCCCACAAAGTATGATAAGGTGAGATATTATGGCAGTGAATACCAGGGATTCTGAAATGCCCAAAGAATAAAGAGGGGATGGGGAGAAAATGGAGCAACCAGCTCAATTCTTTCTATATGCCATCGCCCACCCAATCCATTTTGAGCTGGATTGTTGATTTTTCAGTTTTATCTGTTCCTTCTTGTTTTCACCTCCTCCCCAAAAGGAGGGGCCTCTGGTGTCCTGGGCAGCAGCTAAGCATGTTTGGCTTGCAGACAGACAGACAGGCTTCTGCTACACTGCAAAATGTCCCTGCCAGCTGTTCCTCCTCTGGCTTGGCCCGGGAAGTAGAAACTTCCACCACCTCTGGATTTCATGCAAGGGAGTTTGAGCCCCTTGCCCTTCCTGGAGTGTAGGTAATGTGAAGAGCCATTTCCCTGTAGAATACCCCCCCCAATTCACTCCCTGTACCTACCCACTTGTGGGTAGGCGTGCCTGTCTGGGGTTCAAGCATCAAGCTGGAGTGCCTGTCCGCAAGTGGATTATCATTTTGCTTTGCTCCTGGCAAATTCTCTGTCGCAGAGTAGATCAGCGATGACAATACAAACACCTCAGGGGCAGAAGACAATGAAATTAAGCCAGCCATAGAAGCACATGGGCTCTGAGGCAGGCGTGCCCGCATAGCTGGTGGATGGGTTGAAAGCTGTCTTTGGGCAGGACGTTTTGCAACAGCTTAAAAATAGCTGTGACTGAAATGAATGAGGCTCCCTGCCAGGAGTCAGTTCTGTAAAAATTCTTAGCTGTTATGTGTGTGTTTATTTATTTATGTATACATATAAAACCCAGAAGTTCCCAATAACATTGTCATGTTTAATTGCTTGGCTGTTTTCCTGCTGTTTACTGCACAGTTTCCCCAGAGGATACAGCTTCTGTTGGGCAGAACGTTTATAGCTAGCTGACTTGTTTTCCATTCAGGAGCAGCCTGGCAGCTGCCCCAGGAGGGAAAACCTGCAGGTCAGCGAGAGAGGGGGCCTCAACTTCAGTCCATGACATCTGCAAATAGAAGTGGAGAGACTCCTGCTCAAAATCACTTCCCATTGGGTTACATGATACTGAGCTGGGTGGGCCAAAGGCTTTGCTTAGTAAATGGAAGTTTTCTGCGTTCCTTATTGTTTGTACCATGAAGGGTGGGAGGTGGGAAGCGAGGCAGAGCTGAACCCCTGGATGCAGCTGTCCAGATGGGCACTTAGGTAGATGACTGTGAGGAAGCAGCCTTCAACAAGCAACAGAGTGGGAGGAGATTTGATCTGATCTACAGGGCATGGGATGTGGGTGGTGCTGTGGGTTAAACCACAGAGCCTAGGACTTGCCGATCAGAAGGTCGGTGGTTCGAATCCCTGCGATGTTGCTCGGTCCCTGCTCCTGCCAACCTAGCAGTTCAAAAGCACGAAGTGCAAGTAGATAAATAGGTACCGCTCCTGCAGGAAGGTAAACGGCGTTTCCGTGCGCTGCTCGCTCTGGTTCGCCAGAAGCGGCGTAGTCATGCTGGCCACATGACCCGGAAGCTGTATGCTGGCTCCCTCGGCCAATAAAGCGAGATGAGCGCCGCAACCCCAGAGTCGGCCACGACTGGACCTAATGGTCAGGGGTCCCTTTACCTTACAGGGCATAACCCACCCTAGAACAGAGGTTTTCAACCTTTTTCAGTCCACGGCTCCCTTAACCAACTACATTCTTTCTGCAACACCTCTGTGGGGTTCAGGAGCCGAGTTATGCCACCTCTTGCCTGCAGAACTGGCAGCCTCTTGCCCTTTTCCAAACACCCTCCCTTGTGGAGTGTTCCCTCAGCCTCCTCTCCTTGGGAGTCCTCCGGCCAGCTACTGCTGCCATTCCTGGTCTCTGAGCTGCCCTCTCCACCCCTCCAAAGAGGTGCCTCCCAGAGGTACAATTCACCTATGCAGTTTATAGCCAGGCCTGCTGCAGTAAACAGCTATGCAAGCCTTCGGAAGGCAGAGACGGAAGGAAGGCATCAGAGAGGGAGAGAAAGAGGGACAGAGGCCAGTGTTGCCCGTGGCACCATCATTCGAGGCAGCCTGGTTGAAAACCACTGCCCTAGAAAATGAAATGTTTATTTCAGTGGCAGGGGATGATGGGAGTTTTCTACCCCTATAGACATTCCTGAGCTATGTGGACCAACAACCTTGCTTGAGGCAAGGCAGCTTTTTGAAGTTACTGAAGCTGAGCTTAAATGATATGCCCTTCCTTGGGGTATCATTGAGCTCCTTCAGTGTCATATTCTAAAATGGAGTGAGACTTTAAAGTTTGCCTGAAGAACCGCTGAGGTGCTGCAAAGGTTCTAGAGCAGGGGTGGGCCATAATTTTTTCTCTTGGAGAACCAGTGATAAAAGGGTCTTGAGTTAATGAATCCAGAACAAAAACTGGCCTGCTTCAATTTTCACTGGGTCAGAATTCCCAGTCTTATGCATGTCTACTAAAAAATAAGCTTCACTGGGTGTGATGAAGTCAGTGCTTTTTTTCTGAGGGGACACAGGGGTACACATACTCCTAAACATTTTGTGAATCTTTGTACTTTTGTATTTAATTTTCCCGATTTGAACTATAAAATGGTGACTTTATTGAGTCAAAATGAGAGTACCCTATAACAATTTTCAAGAAACAAAGCACTGAATGAGGTTACTCTCAAGTAGGCATACTGAGAATTTTGCTGTGTGTGTAGACATACACCCCAACCCATCTACACACACACCCATAGGGGTGTAAAAAATAAACACACAGCCTGGAAAAAATGATTTTTTTAAAAAAAAATCACACAAATTATTTCTTAATGAACTAAAGTGATGCCACTTCCATTTGTTCTGAAACTATGCTGAAAAAGTGGGAAACGCTCTTAAGAAGCCAGATAAAATAATAAGTAAGGAACTCTGATGGAAGAACAGGGCCGTTTCAGGTTGCGTGGGTGGGGCTGGGGCTGTGCACTTAAAGCAGGGTGGGTGCACATGTCACCTTCTGTGTTCCAGAGGGAAGAAAAGGATTGTAGGTTTAACATCAGAAGCCTCTTAAATCAGCTGCCACCGCAACATGACGGCAGCCAAGGCAGACAGCTTTAAAGGGCAGTTAGGCAAATTCATTGTGGGGGATGAAGCCATTTATTGTGATGGCTCAGCTTTGGGCTCTAAAGAGCAGCCGCTGGGAAAGGCCCCCTCATTATGGGCTTCCTGGGAACATCAGGAATTGCTGCAGGGGATTGTGTAATCAAAACATTAATATTAAAGCAAGAATACTGATTGCAAAGTATTGGAAGACACAAGAATAACCCACACTGGAAGAGTGGCAGATGAAGGTGATAGACTATATGGAATTGGCAGAAATGACTGGCAGAATCCGAGACCTGGGAGAAGAGTTGGTGGAAGAAGATTGGAAGAAATTTAAAGACTACTTGCAAAAATACTGTAAAATTAATGAATGTTAAAATGATGTTGGATTGAAAATAAGTGGTATTGGTAACAAGGTTAATAAGAATATGTAAATACGGATTGATAATGGATGAAAATATATAGTTATAATAGGCTAAGATTTAGAGTAAAGATAAATGAAAGAGGGCAAGGATTTGCTGAGATGTTTTTGTAAATGGGAATACAAAAAGGGGAGGTGTGAGGAGGTCAAGGAAACAAGTAAATGAGTCTAAAGATATTGAAAAATGGACTTATTTCTTTAAACTTTTTCTTTTTCTTTTTAGCTATTTGTTTTTTGTATTTTGCATCTCCTTTCTTTTTTTCTATGTGTATTTTTTAGCTTGTTAATTTTTGTTTTAATTTTTCTTTATTCTGTAAACCTATGTTTTTTTTGTAAAATCTTAATAAATATCTCTTTAAAAAAAACAACATTAATATTAATATTATACAATCCCATGCGGCTGTGGGTGTAAACCTCTGAGTTTTGAATGAATCAAGCATTGGCATGAGACCTCCAGGTATAGGGCGGCATATAAATTTAAAAAATAAAAGAAATAAAAATGACTAAACAGTGGAAAGATTTCCCAGAGTGGAGTTTTAAAAGCAGCATAAAATTTATTCATAGCACCCATGGTGTTAAATAGGAAGGGGAGGAAGTCAGAAATAAAAGTGTGTCAGTTGCGTAACAGCGCAAGCTTCTTACAAACTTGGCCACTACTTGGCTGCAGAAAACAAGCCATTAAAACTTGGAACTGATTTTTAATTTAAAGTGTATGTGTGCGTGTCAGCACAAAAGCAGGATGCTCGTCGGAACCAGCCTTAGCTTCCAAGACAACTCGCACGCCTCCCAGCTATTTTTGGACTACAACTCCCATCAGACCCCAAGGCAGCACGGCAACATGAGGACGGTGGGGGCCGATGGGAGTTGTAGTCCAAAACAGCTGGGAGGCGCGCGAGTTAAGGCGGAAGCAAAGGAGAGCCTAACCCCAACGGGCCGACCACAAAAGGCTTCTAGTGGGCGACATGAGGCTGGGCTGGGCTCCGGCCTCTCACATATCATCCGTCCACAGTATGTTTGCGTGCGGTGTGGAGAAGGATTTGAACGAAGTCACCTGCTCTGGAGTGACAGGCTTTGCATCTCCCGAGGAACTTTCAGGCCTCAGGACGGACGTCGCTAGGAAACGGCCGGAAGCTGCCGCTCTAGGAGTTCCCTTTCCCCCATACTCACTATCTCTGTGAGGAGGAGGAGCGGGGCTCTATCCGCGCCTGCGTAATCCCCGTATGCGGCAGGTGGGTAAAAATAAAAAATTTGAAGCTCGGGAGCCCCGCCCCTTTTGACGCCCGGCGTCTCCCTCGCGCCCTTCCTTCCCTTCCGCGCCTGCGCGCCGGGCGTGGCTTCGGGCGCCCCTTTCCCTCCCGCTCCGGCCTAGGCCGCCATTTTGGCGCTGCGCTCTGGCGGACGGAGGAGCCGAGAGCGGCTGAGGCGAGCTTGGCGGGCAGGGCCTTGGAAGAGCCGGCCGCTCCTCCCGAGGGGCGAAGGGCGAGCGGGATGCGCCGCCTGAGCTGAGCACGAGGCTCGCCCCTGCGCCCGCCTTCGCTTCCCCCGGGCCCCGCGGCCTGCCTGCCTGCCTCCCCTCCACCTTCCTTCCTTCCCTCCCTCGCCATGTCTTCGTCGTCCTCGTCGGTGGCGTCGGCGGCGCGCTTCGACCCGTCGGACCGCTCGTCGTGGTACGCGGGCCCGCTGTCCCGGCAGGAGGCCCAGGGGCGCCTGCAGGGGCAGCGCCACGGGACCTTCCTGGTGCGGGACTCGGCCACCTGCCCCGGCGACTACGTCCTGTCCGTCTCGGAGAACTCGCGCGTCTCGCACTACATCATCAACTCGCTGCCCGGGAGGCGCTTCAAGATCGGCGACCAGGAGTTCGAGCACCTGCCGGCCCTCCTCGACTTTTACAAGATCCACTACCTGGACACCACCACCCTCATCGAGCCCGCGCCCAGGTCAGGAAGGAGGCACGGAGGCTCCTCGCATGCATGCACGCCCCACAGCCAGCCAGCCAGCCAGCCACTGGCATCCCGAGGGAGCGGCGGGAGCTCTCGTGAAGCCCCGCCAGGTGCCAGGACTAAGTGGCCCATGATGGCCTTGACCTTTGGGGTGCTTCCTCTCCAGAGAGGCCACCTAGGGCCGCCGCAGGAAGCCCACCGTGTCACCACCCCCGGGAACAGGACCACAGGAATTCTCACTGTCAAGCTGCTCTTTTAATGGGGGGGGGGTGGAAGTGAGCACCAACACTCCTCCTTATGCCACAGTACGGGGCTAGCCCAGGGCTACTGAATCTGTATGAGGTCACAGGGTGGCCATGGGGAATCTGTGCATGTGTGCGTGCAAAAATGCCTATGGAGCTATCTCTGATAGGCGCATATGTCTTCATCTTCTCATGCTGCTGAGATGCGGCAGGTGTTTTCCCAGATGTTCCTACTCCATGTGAGGGCTGTTGTAGCCCTTAATCTCGTGCTGGATGTGGGCATCTCAAATTGATGGGTATGGCTGTCAACTTGCTTTCCTCTCTACTTGTGAGAAGAGGAAACGTGTGGTTGCCTTGTGCATGTGTCACAGTTCACACTTGGATATTCTGAAAACCAAGTTAACCCTTGAAGTTACAAGTAAAGAAATAAAAAAATAATTTCACCCTCCCTTGTCATCAAACCTGTCCCCCCTCCCCCAGACACATATCAATGCCCATTGCTTTCCTTGCCCACCATTGCCCTGGTCACATCAGGAAGTGCAGCTGCAGTTTGCTACTCCTGTCTTCAGTCATTATGCATTTCACAGCTTCCCCTCACTTTAACTAGGTTGTAGCTAGCCATGTCCCTCTTCACAATCCGTAAACTATTCTGACTGGATTTTGGAGCCCACGATTGGTTGCTGGAAATCTTAAGCATTTGGAATCTGTTTCCTTGATTTGGGTAACCACCTCATTGTAACATATTAAATTTCTTCTCGCTTCTGCTTGTCTCCCCAAATAGGGAGATGACAAGTTCTCATAAGATGTAACATGAGGTGGCTTAGCGGTCAGGTAAGGAAGCCAACCAGCAGGATAGGACAACTTCTGGATTTGGCAAGACAATTGGTTGAATGACGTAGACATGGGTGCTTCAAAACCAAACATTCTGTATTTTATGAAAGTAGCTGTTCCCTAAAGCTGTAGTTACACTTCTAAATAGCTGTTCTGTTGGTAGAAAAGGGCACAGCTGTGCCCTGCCCTGTCACTTCTCCTAGATTATTGTTTCCATCCGTCCGTTCCCCCCCAGCAAAAAAATAAATGGACACTGAGCTCTAGCCTCTCCTGCTTCAGTAGTAGTTGCTGCTGTGTTCAACAGGGCCAATGAATGTGACTCACATACGTTTCCCCCCCAGGAGGGCTTCTATTGAGTATGACATACACTAGCCACAAAGAATTCCCTCAAATATTTCAACCCTAATTTAAGAGATCAGTTATCTGCTACTAATCCTCCTGTCTTCTTTAGGTATCCAGCTGCACTGATGGGATCTGGATCAGCCCCCATCATGACTGCTGCAGAAGATAACGTGGAATACGTCCGGACTCTTTATGACTTTGCTGGAAACGATGCAGAGGATCTGCCATTTAAAAAGGGAGAGATCCTGGTCATTGTAGAGAAGCCTGAAGAACAGTGGTGGAGTGCCAGAAACAAAGATGGCCGTGTTGGGATGATTCCTGTTCCTTATGTTGAGAAGCTTGTCAGATCTTCCCCACACGGAAACAGGAACAGGAATTCCAACAGCTACGGGATTCCTGAGCCTGCCCATGCTTATGCTCAGCCTCAGACGGCCAGCCCTCTTCCCAACATAGCCAATACGCCTGGGGCAGTCATCACTCCCCTCCCATCCACACAGAATGGACCAGTCTTTGCCAAAGCAATTCAAAAGAGAGTTCCATGTGCTTACGACAAGACTGCCTTGGCGCTAGAGGTAAGCTTTTCAGCTGGCTGGACGTGAGGCTTGGCTATCCTGTCTAAAGGGAGTGTCTGCAGTCTTTCCGTTAAGGGGGTTTTAAGCTATTTTTGTATTAGCGTACTTCTATAGTTGCATATGGGCCTGTGACCAGGAGGGTGCCTGCTTTCCGTGTTGACTCTGGCATCTGCAGAATTCAGCTTCAGGAATCTTGGCTAGCAGGTGCCAGGAAGGGTTCACAGGGCTGCTACCCTAGGTCAAACATTGGATTGGCAGTGGGGAGAAAGCAGCCTCACACATCATTATCATCATCATCATCATCATCGTTATTATTATTATTATATCCTGCCCATCTGGCTGGGTAACCCCAGCAACTCTGGGCACCTCCCAACACAATATTAAAAACACGATCAAACATTAAAAACTTCCCTAAACAGGGCTGCCTACAGATGTCTTCTAAAAGTCAGATAGTTGTTTATTTCCTTGACATCTGATGGGAGGGCATTCCACAGGGCGGGCGCCACTACCGAGAAGGCCCTCTGCTTGGTACCCTGTAACTTTGCTTCTCACAGGGAGGGAACCACCAGCAGGCCCTCGGAGCTGGACCTCCGTGTCCAGGCTGAACGATGAGGGTGGAGGCGCACCTTCAGGTATACAGGACCGAGGCTGTTTAGGGCTTTAAAGGTCAGCAAACACTTTGAATTGTGCTTGGAAACATACTAGGAGCCAATGAAGATCCTTTAGGACCGGTGTTATATGGTCCCAGCAGCCGCTTCTGGTCACCAGTCTAGCAGCTGTATTCTGGATTAGTTGTAGTTTCCGAGTCTGGTGTAGTGTCCTGGTTAAGTTCACTCCCTACAAATCCTGGCCTAAAACAGAGCCAGTCACTTGGGTCACTTTAGTGAAATGCAGTGAGAAACAGGCTGTTGGCTGCTCATGAGTCTTGGTTGGTGCTGGTATTTGTTAGGTAGGTTTAAATGACATCATCTGCCCCAGGTCACTTGGATGGGGCAGGATAGTAATCACATTTAGATGTAAGGCATTAAGCTGTGTAAAACTGGTACACTGAGGGTGCTTCTCCTGACTGCTCTGTGCACACCTTCCCTTAAGGACCATAAATGTTTTAAGACTGCTGTTTTCAGGTGGTTGTTGCTGTTGAGGCAGAGATGGTCTGTTCCTGTACTTTTCAGGTAGTTTGTTGCAGAAATCAGCCTTGGCTGCAGGTCTTACCACCTTGTCTGCTGCTCAGCTTTGGACAGTGAAATTCATGTGTGTGCATTCACAGGTGGGGCGTCTTAAAGGACCTTGTCTAGTCTAGCTCTCTGTTCCATACAGGAAATTCAGAACAAATGGTTGCCCAGTCTCTGCTCAAAGCCTCACAACCAGGTAGAGCTCAGCATCACCACCCCTCTCTGTCATTGACTCCATTGCTGAATTACTCTTACTGTTAAGAAGTTACTCCTCATGCTCAACTGAAATCCAGCTTTCTGTGACTTAAAGTCCATTAGATCTCATCCTTCCCTCAGGTTTCAGCAGTCCCTTCAGCCTTTCCTTGTAGGACTTGCTGGGCATCCCCCTGACTATCTTTACTGCCCTTCTGAATCTCTTCCAGTTTCTTTTGGCAGCCGCCTTACACTGCAGCAGCCACAGATGAGTTCTGACTAGTCCAGAATCAAAGGAGAACTGTTATTAGCCAGCCCATAGTAATAAACCTTATTGCACGTAGCCTTTGCAAACTTCCCATCAGTTCATACCACAGACTTAATAGTTTACATAATAAAACGTACATTGATACCGTAGATTTAAATATGTCATAAATAAAATCCATATCCACCATATTTACTGCACATAAAACTTGGTTCAGTTCTTTAACAACGTTCATAAAAAAGTGTGCATGTAATTTCTCGGCATCTAGGCCAAGTAACAGTGCAATATATAAGTAACAGGAAATTGGTCAATAATGGCATATCTTGAGGGGTTCTATTCAGGTACAGTAAAATAATAAATAGTGAGATATATCTTCAGTTAGTGATGTATGGAAGTGAGAGCTGGACCATAAAGAAGGCTGATCGCCGAAGAATTGATGCTTTCGAATTATGGTGCTGGAGGAGACTCTTGAGAGTCCCATGGACTGCAAGAAGATCAAACGCATCCATTCTTAAGGAAATCAGACCTGAGTGCTCACTGGAAGGACAGATCGTGAAGTTGAGGCTCCAATACTTTGGCCACCTCATGAGAAGAGAAGACTCCCTGGAAAAGACCCTGATGTTGGGAAAGATGGAGGGCACAAGGAGAAGGGGACGACAGAGGATGAGATGGTTGGATAGTGTTCTTGAAGCTACAAACATGAGCCTGACCATACTGCGGGAGGCGGTGGAAGACAGGAGTGCCTGGCGTGCTCTGGTCCAGGGGGTCACGAAGAGTCGGACACGACTAAACGACTAAACAACAACAACAACAACATCTTCAGTAGACCTGCATCCAAAGAGGCATTATTACTCTGACTGGAGTGCATTTTTATTTCCCTTCAGGATATGTGAATGGTATTACAGTGGTACCTCAGGTTACATACGCTTCAGGTTACATACGCTTCAGGTTACAGACTCAGCTAACCCAGAAATAGTACCTTGGGTTAAGAACTTTGCTTCAGGATGAGAACAGAAATTGTGCTCCGGTAGCGTGGCGGCAGCAGGAGGCCCCATTAGCTAAAGTGGTGCTTCAGGTTAAGAACAGTTTCAGGTTAAGAACGGACCTCTGGAACGAATTAAGTACTTAAGCCAAGGTACCACTGTACATGGAACCAATGTTCTGCAAAGGCCTTACGTAACTAACTTGTTTTAAACTGTTTCTGAATTGTATTTTTAAGTTCCTCTAACTTGCCCTGTAACCTTACAGTGAAGGACAGATAAGAAATCAAAAGAATAAGAATAGTTTAATGTATTGGTCACTTTCCACAGAGAGTCCCAAACTGACTGACAGAAATAAGTAGGTTGCTGAGATGTTTGCTTAATGCTTTTGCGCTGACAGTAAAGATGGTCAGCAGTTTTATCGTTAGCAAACATCTCGGAAGATAAAACTGTTGACCATTTTTACTAGGGGTCGGTAATGGGCTGGTTCACTCCAGTGGAGATCCCTCCATGGGCCGGATCGCGCGCGCACATTGGCACGTGGGGCTGCGATTTCCAGCATCTGCGCAGACACGTTTTCCGGCGTCTGAGCATGCGCAGGCGCAATTTCTGGCACAGCGGAAGTGAGTCGCCACGCTGCGCTGGTTTAGTGCAGCGCGTGGGGACTCACCGAGCAGGCGACTCGGTTCAGGGGCAGCTTGTGGGCCGTTTAAACGACCCCCGTGGGCCGCTTGTGGCCCATGGGCCTTAGGTTGTCTACCCCTGATCTTTACTGTCAGTGCAAAACGTGAGCACACCAAATGATCAGTGGCAGATTTCAGCTATAAGATTTTTGCAGTGAAGCAATGCAACCTTTCACTTTAGTTATAACAGTGGCTTCTAAAGCTTCTCCTGGCCTTACTGCGATTATATTGTGGGGAAAACAATGAAACCTGTAATCCTTTTAAGTAGAGCAAAATATGCCAGATTGCAGCACCTCCAAGGAGTTCTTGACATCTCTCCGATCTCAGAGTCACTTAATGACTGTTTCCTGCCTGCCTTATGGAGGAAACTGAGCCTGGACCTTTTGCAAGAGACTCATTACTGGGTTTTGAAATAGTTTATTTTATTTTCGTTTTAAACTTGGCTCCTTTTTCTGTCCATTTCATTGATTGTGCAGGTGCCCTTTTCTTCCTCCCTTAGTTTCCCACTCCAGCGCTTTCCTCTTGTCCCTCATTTCCCTTCTTCTCCCCCCCCAAAAAAAAATGTTTTACAAATACAGTGGTACCTCGCAAGACGAACGCCTCGCAAGACGGAAAACCCGCTAGACAAAAGGGTTTTCCGTTTTGGAGGCGCTTCGCAAAACGAATTTCCCTATGGGCTTGCTTCGCAAGACGACAGCCCATAGGGAAATCTCCGGGACAGCGGGGAAGCGCAGCGCGTCTTCCCCGCTGTCCTTGGACCTCCTCCGAAGCCTGGCGGCGGAACGATGCCCCGATGCCGGGCGGGGGGGAACACCTCTGCCGCCGCCCGCCATCGGGACGATGCCCCGATCCCGGGCGGTGGGGCAGGAACGCCTCCCCCCGCCGCCCGCCATCGGGACGAGGCCCCGATCCCGGGCGGCGGGGCGGGAAGCCTGGGCGCGCTGATCACGGCGCGCCCAGGCTTCGGCATGCTGGCACCTGTCCGCAAGCAGCGGCAGTGCTGCCGCTGCTTGCGGAGAGGTCCACGAAGCCTGGGCCGGTCAGCTTTTGAAGGCAGGCGGGGGGAGCAAAGACTTTCGCCCCCGCCAGCCTTCAGAAGAGGTCCAGGACCTCTTCTGAAGGCCAGCGGGGGGCGAAAGTCTTTGTCCCCCCTGCCTGCCTTCCCAGGGGCTTTTAAATCGCCCCGGACAGCGGAGAAGTCCTCCGCTGTCCCGGGCGATTTTAAAATGCCGCCCGTCAGCATTTTAAGATCGCCCCAGACAGCGGAGACGTCCTCCGCTGTCCCGGGGTTTTTTAAAATGCTGGGGGTGGGAAGAAAAGCCCTTGTCCCCCCCCAGCCTTCAGAAGAGGTCGGGGGACAGACTGTCCCCGGACCTGGTCTGAAGGCGGTTTCCCTAGGAACGCATTAATTGATTTTCAATGCATTCCTATGGGAAACCGTGCATCGCAAGACGAAAAACTCGCAAGACGAAGAGACTTGCGGAACGAATTAATTTCGTCTTGCGAGGCACCACTGTAATGGAAATAAGATGATACTTTAAATTATGGTTGGGGGAACTATAGTGAACCCACCCTGCCCAGTGAGGCCGGACTGCAACTCTCATCATCCTTACCCTTTGCCATGTTAAGTGGGGTGGGGGCTGATGGGAGTTGGAGTCCTACAGCAGCTGGAGGCTGCCCACGGATGCTGGCCGGCACTGTTAAACTCAACTTCTTTGGCACATTTTCATTTCATGCCATCCTTATCTGTGAGTTCTTCAGAAAGTGTGTTGTTCCTCTTTAGCTGTGGCCGTTGTGGCCATGGACTGTTAACATCCCAAGTGTTTAAGTGGGTTGCTTAACTTAAATGTGGAAATACTTTGCTGCGGCTGATAGCTGCTAAGCGATGACTTCAGCCTTGTAAGGATTTGGGGCTGGTATTTCCTTGTTGGTGGTTTCCATCTGCTTGTTGCTAATTTCCGGGGTAAAACTGGTGAGGACAAAGGAGGATTAAGTGACTTGGGGCAGAATCCAGCCAGACCTTCTTGGCAAGGTCCACTGGAATGAATGGGGCATAAGCATTAGTTGTGGGGCTTGTGCTGACACTTGTGGCTTGAACAGTAACTTGGAACTTAGCTGCAGGCTTAGCAGTGAGTCAGAGGAAATTATGCGCCCGAGGTGCCTCTTTCCTTTTTTATCCCTGTGCCTCTCAGCTCAAAGAAGGAGCGTGGCAGGCGTGAGTAAGCTTGTAGTGACTTGCCCGTTCCTAAGTCTCTATAGTCTACATGGTCTGGGCCACGTGATACAAGATTTCCCTAAAATACATCCTGGCTTCCTCATTTGGATGGGACAACCCGCTTCCCAAATGCCAGTGTGCCACCCCTTCCCCCCAGTTTCTGTCTTCCAAATAGAGCCAGGCCTCCCTCCGCTGCTCCCCCACAAGTGAAGTGACAACCTGTTTTCTTGACATTGAAATAATTCATTATGACTTTTTCCCAAACCTCACGGGACCCACTTTATTTAAATATCTGAAAGGTCACTCAGGCAGTTCCAGTGAAAAGAAATTATTAGTCTTTCAGCACAAATACATCGGACCATAATGCCAACATGGTGCTCAGCAGAGTTGTAATAATGCCAGTTTTGTGGAGGAGGCGGGTGCCCGGGGGCCACTTGGCCATAGCTGGCCTTTTGCTGGCTCTGAGGTTCTCAACCTGTGAGGAGGAATCTTTCTGATATGGCTTTGGGCTTGCCACTCTGTTTTCCCCTTTGTGAGGAGGTGGACAGAAAGGAAGCATCACATGGGAGCTCTGATGCCTCACAAATGCAGCAGAGCCTCTCCTCATGGCTCACTTTTGACATCCATGTTCTCAAGGTGGGCTTTGTCAGCTGCCCCAAGAAGCCCAAGGTCTGTCTGTCTTTTGACTTGGTTGTGTTGCTCACTACCTAGGACCAGGTACATTATTGGACCTTCTACCATCTCATTCTTTTGTGTATGCTTTGAGATCATTCCTGCTGCATCCCGACAGTCACTATTTATTTATTTAAAATATTTATAGCTCAGCCCCCATCTTCTAGCAAGCAGTGGCAAACCTTTAAGCGAGAGCAATGCCTGCTGCTGTTGTTGCCACCACGACCTTTCAGCGGCTCTTGGGTGCTTGGTTGGGCCTTCTCTGTGGCAGCATCTAAGCCAGGGGTAGGCACCTCAAGGCCACAAGCAGCCCACGGGGGTCGTTAACCGGCCCACGAGCCACCCCCAAATCAAGCCACCCACTCGGCGAGTCCCTGCCTGCTGCGCTAAAGCAGCACAGCGCGAGGACTCACTTCCACGGTGCTGGAAATCGCGTCTGCGCAGACGCCAAAAATCACGTCTGTGTAGACACAGACGCCGGAAATTGCGCGCGCGTGATCTAGTCCACGGAGGGATCTCCGCCGGAGTCAACTGGCCCAGGCAAGGTAAACCTTGCCAACCCCTGGTCTAAGCTGTGGAATTGCCTCCCTGCTGTTATGCCTCTACTTCCTTTGATACAGGAGATACCCACCTATTCTTCTGATTGTAAACTGTTTTAACTGATTTTAATACTTCATTTTTGCTTTGTTGTAACCCACCCTGGGACCTGATGGCAAAGAGCTCCAATTAATAAGAACAAGGTGTAATAATAAGTGGAGGTAGTAATTATCAATGTCATTTCCTACTGAAGTCTGCCCATTTCTGCTTGTCATGGAAATTATTAAACATATATTTAGCCTACACTTTAAGGTGTCTGCCTTCCTATCCCAAGGCAGATTGCAGTGTGTCAAGTTACTCTACAATATTAAAATTCCAACATTTAAAAATAAACTGATCAGTGATAAAACCACCCAAATGTCAATCAGAATAACAAATTCTTCAGGGCTTTCCAGAAGGCTAATGGAGGGGGGCACTACATATTTCCTTGAGGTGTGTGTTCCAGAAATATGGGGTGGGGGGAACCTGTGGACTGGTGAGCCAGGTCTTGGCTGCTGATTTCTACCTGAGTACAGGCTGTCCTGTATCCTGCCCCTCTGTTGAAATTGAATTCCCAAGCACTGCCAAACTGCATACTTGACCCTTTATGGGGTCTATAATTATGGCTTTATGATCCAAGTTGAAAGTTTGCAGAAGATGCCATCCAGGCAGAGGCTGCCCTGTCCTTCTCCACCTCCTGCCTAGTTCAGCTTCCCCCCTCCTGCACATCAGGACACTTTCTGCTCTGGGATCAAGTTTTATTTTGTCTTAAGAAGTTCCTAGTATTATTATGTGTCCTACTTTTGTCTGGTTTTTTTTAATTATTGCAAGCTACTCTGGGTGTGTAAAAAGTTATAAAATGAAGTAGCTCAGAGGCTCCCAAGAGGGTCTTCTTTTCTTTCAGTTTGGCCTTAAATTAACTATTAAATTAGCTATGTTAATGACCAAAATCAAAACCTTGTTATACCAACCACTCAATATTCTCCGTGGAGAGGGTACATTAAGTAGTATGTTTAAACGCTGAATGTGTAAGTTTTATGTGCAGAGTCAGTGGATAAAACAAACAGCATTAGATGTACTGCTGGATAAGTGTTTCATAGCTCTTGTATTTGTTTAAAAAACAATTTAAAATTGTTAAGATAAAAATAAAGGGGAAAGCATTTTGAAGGGCAAACATTCTGAAATGGCATCTGATGCTCATGCTGGCCATTATAACCCTTCAGCCCACTAATACTTTTAGGTCATCCAGAAAAACAAGCCCTCCTCTCATCTTATAATTGCCCCCAATCTTCATACAGAGTAAAAGAAAGAACTGGCATTATAGGAAACCTATACAGGGTTTTTTTTGGGATTGCAGCTGGGTCCATTTAAACTCCTCCTTACTCAGCTTCGCTTGGCAATTTGAGGGCAGCCACTGCAGGAAACAGATGGGCTCTTGTTTTGGTCCAGCGTAGCTTTTCTCACTTGGAGTGTGTTGCTGTGGGAAGAAGGTGCTGCTTCTTAGTTGCTGTTAGTTTAAGAGTTGTAGGTTTTCACCTCTATGAAATGCCTCCTCATGTCTTAGTGGAAGGACAAGGGACTCGTGCTATTTTATTTTACCCTTTCAATGGTTTCTGGACCTTCCTTCCCCAGAGAAGAAATAGAACTGGGGCTTTTAGTGTCACTCAGATCTCCTTCTCCTCAATTGGCATTGGGGTGCTTTTTCTTCCAAGCCTGGGGGCTGGGCTGGACTTGAGTGAGGGGGGCGGAACAGGCCACTTTCCATGGGCTGCTATTCCTGGGGTGGCTTTTATGACCACCAGCCACTGCCAACTTGTAGCAGGCCATGAATGGTGCTTTCTAAAGTTAAGCTTCATTTTTCAGGTGTAGTTCTGGTACGTTGAAATAATTTGACTGTTTCCAGCCATGTCCTAAGGTGTTTTTCCCTCCCTTTCAACTTTGCAGGTTGGTGACATCGTGAAGGTCACAAGGATGAATATCAATGGTCAATGGGAAGGTGAAGTTCATGGTAGAAAAGGGCTCTTTCCTTTCACACACGTCAAAATAATTGACCCTCAGAATCCTGATGAAAGCGAATGATTCCTGTTGGCCCATTTCTCTGTTGCTGCTTCATTTCCCTGGCTATCATGAGCATCATCGGAAGTGCAATGATGACTGTTAATGGCGCCTTGTAAGCATTGTCCATTTTTTCCAGCTTGCTGCAATTTGACAGCCCTGTAGTATCTGTTTGGAATGCATACAGCTGAAGTTGCTTGTGGGCCCTCGTGCGGCAATGACGTCGTCCAAAACTTAAAAGTAGCACCTGGAAGGATTTTGGACCTTGAGCTCCAGAAGATTGGTGATGTCACCCAGGCAGAAGAACAGAGGGTGGAACTTCAGCTGACCCGGCCAAGGTTTCTGTCCATGGGCAACATTCTACTCAGGAGGAGAATTCTAAGCAACTTTGTCCAGAACCTACGTAATTTTATTTTTCCTTCCAGGGCAGGGAACACTTGATTTGAGAGGAAATAATCTGTTTAAGCAGTTAGAATAATAGTGTCTTTAGGCTATAATTGATGCTTGTGTATTATTAGCAAGACAGTTCTGTGAGTTTGTCGTTGACCTAGAAACAAGTTTGGAATGGCGGCAAAATGTCATTTAAGGAATTGCATTGAGCAGGGTCTTCTATTTATAACCGTGACACATAACTGGTCTGTTTTGCCATACACTTGTCTAAAACTTTGCTGTTTTGTTTGCAAAACCATGGCAGTTTTGTTGTTTTTTTAAGCTCAATCTGACAGTCACTAGATGCAAGATTTTAAAAGATAGACTTTCACAAGCTTGGTTGAAATTGGCACTTTCTGCCTCTTTTAAAAAGCAAAACCACCAACCATTGATAATCTCCAATGGGAATATAGACATAATGAAAAGTTTTTACCATTTAAACCTTTTAACTATCCTGTGCCCTTCTGTACAAATGTCTCTGTTAGATTCTAACTATCATAACGAGGAATGGTAAATGCAGAAACCTGAATGTGGGTTTTGTCATTTGAAGAACTGACTCTCTAGATGATGGTTTTTAAAAGTTTAGTTGGCACGTGTTGTCTCTTGAGGATTTTGGACTTCTGAGGAGCCTCATGTTCAACTCAGTATTAAAGTGCCTTAATTTGGGATGAAAGTTGCTGAAGGGGATGCCATTTCAGCTTTAAGGTCTGCAGAGAAGCAGTTCAGTTCACTGATCCTTAAAACCCTGTAGTGACTGTTGATGGTCTGAAGAAGCACGATTTTACTGCCAAACATACTGTGAATTAGGCTAGCCTTGATACTCCCAGAAAGCATTTTCCCACCTTAGGTGCTAAGACCCTCCGTGATGGACAGCAGCACAGTTGTCCTAGAGAATAGCCAGGCAGGTGCCCCTCTTGATCTGTCTTGAGTTACGGTGGAGTAGTACTACTGAGCTTTGTGTTTAGGAATATTTAAGCTGCAATAAATGTCAGTCTGCCATAATAAGATAATCCTACTACATAGAGGCCCTCACTCTCCCGAGCTGTCCTTAAATGACAGCTTATAGATATAGACTGTGTGCAACTTCTGCCTTGAAAAGCTGCAGAAGCAGCACTTGTGTGTGCGTTTGTGCGTGTGTGTGTGCATGATGGGATGCTTTTTATTTACCCTGCTCTCAGCAGGCAGCGAGGAGTCTGATGTCGGAGCCCAGGAGCTGTTGCTTCCTTGCCTCTCGTCAGACTCTTTGCTGCCTGGTAAACTAATGTTAGGATTGCAAATAAGAATCTCGGCACATGAGTGTCTGTTAACCAGGACCACAAGCAAGACTAGCTGGTGGCTTCTGAGGCAGGTGAGAGCTTTGAAGTCCACCTGAAGCCAAAGAGTGGCTTCTGTCATGGCTAACGAGTGCAGCTCAAGTGTAGCACACTAAGTTGATTTTGATGGTAAAACTTGCATCAAAATGTTTATTTGCTATTTTATTATGATAAAAATATTTTCATACTAAAAAAAACCCCAACCAACCATGTTTAATCTGTCTGTAAACGTCACCAGTTTTTCCTCTTGGCTTCTGGCTGGGCTGTGTCTCGCAGAAGCTGCTGTCCCTTCCTGGGGCTAGTTTCCGGTTAATTGTAAGACCTCATCAATCTATGCATTACGATGTAAGGTGCCAAAAAGCCTTGCAGTGCAATCCTTGGCATGTTTACTCAAAGTAAGTCCCATTTATCTCAGTAAGCCTTGCTCCCTCAGTGAGTGTGCATAGGGTTGGGTTTCAAATTAGTAATTGGTTGAAATGTCTGCTGTCAAAACCATCTTGGGAAGGTTTTCCCTTATCCTGCTGTACAGATGAATGGATCCCTGATCGAGGGGGGGGGGACTGGCAAAAGTGCCGATAGAAATCATGATTGTTTACAAATCAGGCAGGAATGCATCAAAGGGAATCTCCTGTTTGGCTGGGCCTCTTGGGGGGGCCCCGACCATTATTTTTTTGTAAAGGGACAGAAAGCGTTCGCTGTGCCATTTCATGTGCCTGCAATAACTTTTTGTATTGTATAATGAACATTCTGGAACTGGGTTGGCTGTCCTGTGTGTGTAGTGATTTACTCCGATGTCTCCAGCAGAACGCGAAACTTGACTGCTCTCTTCCCTTGTGGGACCAGTAGAAGCGTTCTGGGGAGCTGTAAATGTTCCTCTTGACCTAGTTTGGGTTGTTATAAATGCAAACATATCCAGACCCATTTTTTGCAGAGGGGGAAAAAAAGGTGGCCTTGTACTTAAAAGACAGTCTTCACTGTGCAAACATTTTTACATAATGGAAGTATCATTTGAATTTCAGGCAATAATGTGTTATGCTTTAAGCCTTATTGTGGGGATCATCATAGCTTGTTTTTATTTTATTTTGTGCTACAGAATTAACAGTATTAAATATATTCTTAGAACACACACAGTGTCTTTTGTTAAAATTAATGCCTTTTTTGTTTTCTTAGTTTACTTCACTGGAGGTCCCACACCCAGCCATTGCCCAGTTTGCGTACTCTCAATAAAACATGCATCCAACTTGCACCAATAGTTGTCATCTATGCCTTGAATGTTCACCGTCATGCTGGCTGCCACCGTCAGGCTTTCCTGTGATAGCAGAAGATACTCTGTGCAAGAGGATCTCATTCCCTTCCCCACAGTGCTCTTGTGGCTGCAAGAGTGTGGGTCTCTTACCCTGCATGTCACTGGTTCCTAGCATTTAGAAAAGAACAATGCTCTCTGAATATGCTTAAAGGAACATTTCCTTTATAGCTTCTGGACTCCTGGAACTGAGAAGTGGTAGGGAGGATGCACAACTCTAGCAGTGATCCACGCCCTAACAGAGTTGTCCCATCCTAGGATTTGGGGCAGGGTGCAAGAGAGAAAGGGGGCGCTGTCATTGTTTCACCTGCAGCAAATGGATTAGAGACCTTTCAGCTGATTAATACTTTTCCATAAGGCCTCCTTTCTCTTGCTGGAGATTTGTGCCTTTGTAGGTAGCTCTGTGTCTTCTTCTTGTCAGGTGGAAAAAGAGAGAAGATCTGCCCAGAGCAGTGTGTGTGTGTGTGTGTGTGTGTGTGTGTGTGTGTGTGTGTGTGAATGGGCTTCAAAAACCAATGAAACATTCTGCCATTTTATTGGGATGGCAGGAGTGGATGTGGAGATGTATGTCTTGGCAACTGTCCCAATTTCCAAGCCAGCGTCTTGGCACATGCTCCAAACAAGCTTTCCAGGGTTTAGAACGGCTGCTCTTTGGTGGAGAAATGCAAAGGGGAGAAGGGTAAGAAGCCTTTCTTTGCAAGAAGTATAAGGCAGATCTCACAAAGTCTCCCCTACCCTCAAGTCTTCCTCCTCGCCCTCTACCAGCAGGCATAGGGGAACAAGGAATATTGGCTCCAGTCTGCCATGGCGCCTGGGGGGTGGCCTGAGGGCCCCTGTGTACTGTAGTCTGTAGGAAACCCAGAGTAGCTCATAGGGCGGTAGGGTGTCGGTGGAGGAACCACCCACTGGCTGAAGCTTTGGTCGGGGGCGTAGGGGCTGTACATGGGCCTCCGGGATCCTGCTTTCCCTGCAGGGTCAACAGCCATGGCCACCATCCCAGAGTAGTCCTGTGGAGGGAGAGTAGCTGGAAGTGGGGGGAGATTGGTGGCAAAGCCGCCGTCTGCTAGTTTGGGGTCTTGCTCAGGAACTGGGGCAAAGTCCAGCTGCGGGGGTCTGGCTCGGAATTCACTGAGAGATACTCTGTCGCGGAGGGCCCCCGAAAAGGAGCCTTCGCCAGCCTCGTGAAACCTAAAAGAGAAGCCAAGAAGAAGATGGAATGAAGGCAGAGCCCAGCTCAAGAAGCAGGACCTTTCAGGGGTCCTGCTGGGTAAAGGCTAGCAGCCTCCGCAGGTGGGCATCTTCTGAGAAAGCGTGAAAATGTGACCTGGGGCTTTGGTCCCTTGTCACGCCACCCAAGAAAACCTCTTAACTCCATAAGAACAGCACCCCATTCATCCATCTGACTACCCACTGTGCATTGTCAGCCACCTTTCCACATGGAAACCAGCCAAATCAGCCATTAAAAGCTTTTACTTTTGGAATTGCTTGTTCAGTCGTTCACTGCTAATGGAAATGAACACCAGCGGAGAGGGATCTTGTGGAAAAGTGTTTGCCTCTTGCCCCAACTGTGTTTCTGTATTTATAAAAATATATCTCTGCTGCCTTTTGGCTCTCACCGCCCCAGCGAGGCGGCTTACAAATTCCATTCTTACGATACATAAAAAGGTTTCAGGTGTGTTTGGTGCGCAGAGAAGAAAATCAAAGCTGCTCAGCGGAATAGTATAAAGAGCCCTTGCCTGAGCTTATGGGACCCAGTAAGAGCCACCCCTTGGAACAGAGACAATCCTGATGGGCCATTATGGCAGGAGTGTCTACAAAGTGATGCTACTCCCCAGCCCTCTCTTACCTGTATGCTTGTAAGGAGGAAGAGGGAGGTGGGGGAGGTGTTGGCACTTGCTCTTCTTGGGTGGTCCTTGCACTCTCCTCTACCCCCTGAGACAGAGCCTCTGCAGGGGCAGAGGAGGAAGGGTGGCTGTTTTGCTCCGAGACCCAGATGGGGTAGCTGCCGTTGGCGACTGGAATGGCATAGCTCTCCTCCTTCACCTCCATGTTTTCATGCCTTGTAAGATCTGACACACACAGAAAACCAACAGTCGAGAGCTTCCTCTAGCATGTCCAGCTCCCAGCAGAAAAGCCTGCAAGCCCCCTCATCTACCTGGTCTGGTGCCTACACCTGAACACAGCACCTGTGTTGAGGCTGCTTGAAGAGTCATAGGCTCACCTGAGGAGGCCTCGGAGCTGCCAAGAGCTGCCTAAGGACGGGTGGGTGGTGCTTGCTGGTGTCACAAACCAGGAGCCAGGCAAGGTGCCCATCATGCCATTAGCCAGGGGGATAAATCTTTTATGGCAGACCCCAGATCTCCCCTCCTTCCCCTCATTTTTGGCTTTGCTTGCATAAAGCTGTTGAGGCAGAGACATGCAGCCCACCCATTGCTCAGCTGTATCAGCATATAAATTAGCTTTTGCAAATATTCCGGGCATGTGTGTCCGGCCATTGAGTACTTGGCAACTGCATGACTGACATGCGGTGGGCAGGGGGTGACTGAAACTGAAACTCTGGCATGGAGTTGGGGGGTTTAAGTCTTTGCTGTGTGGCCTAATCCAGATGTTGTGGGGTGTGTGTGCTCACCTGCTGCTTGCTGTGGGGGAGAAGTTCCCCTTTGCTCCATTGGGAGCTTTTCTTTCCAGTGCCAGTTCAAGGACCCCAATCTGGACTGGAATGACTGCAGGGGGCAAATAATTAAAGCCCCCCCCCCAACCACCATCTAGATCAGGTCCCCAGACTTTTTTTTTAAAGCCAATCACACCAAAATGGCTAATGGGATTCTTGAGGGCCAAACAAGATGACTTTTGCAGATTGGGTGGCAGCTCTTCCTAATTTAACACACTCAGAAGGAATTCAACAAAATACGAGTGTGAATAAATAGTGGAATAATAATAATTATTTAATATTTATACCCCGCCCATCTGTCTGGGTTTCTCCAGCCACTCTGGGCGGCTTCCAACAAAGTAGTAAAATACAGTGGTCTGTTAAACATTAAAAGCTTCCCTAAACAGGGCTGCCTTCAGATGTCTTCTAAAAATCTGGTAGTTGTTTTTCTCTTTGACATCTGGTGGGAGGGCGTTCCACAGGGCGGGCACCACCACCAAGAAGGCCCTCTGTCTGGTTCCCTGTAACCTCACTTCTCGCAGTGAGGGAACCACCAGAAGGCCCTTGGAGCTGGACCCCGGTGTCTGGGCAGAACGATGGGTGTGGAGACGCTCCTTTAGGTATACTGGGCCGAGGCCGTTTAGGGCTTTAAAGGTCAGCACCAACACATTGAATTGGGCTCGGAAACGTACTGGGAGCCAGTGTAGGTCTTTCAAGACCAGTGTTATATGGTCTTGGTGGCCGCTCCCAGTTACCAGTCTAGCTGCTGCATTCTGGATTAGTTGTAGTTTCCGGGTCACCTTCAAAGGTAGCCCCACATAGAGCGCATTGCAGTAGTCCAAGCGGGAGATAACTAGAGCATGCACCACTCTGGAGAGACAGTCTGCATAACTTATACAAGCTGTGTACTTTTTTTTATTTTTAGGGGTGGGGAAGAGCAGAGCATGGATGGGTCTGCCATTGAATTATTTCTACCTGTAGCTACTAGAAAGAAAGCAGAACCAGTTTGGTTTTTGAAAAGTAAGTCCTGTTAAGTCACTAGTGGTTCCTTTTCTGCCCGTGCTCTGGCTGGGCTCCACTTTGCCTCTCCTTTCCACCACCACCCATTGCTCCATCTCCAGCCTCCAGCACACCTGTAGCATGCTTTGGAAATGGGGAGCCAGATATAGAATGGACGCCAGCACATTCAGGGGATTCTGAGAAGCCTTTTGCTCCCCCATCTGCATGATCAGCTGTACAGTGGTACTTTGGTTCTCAAACTTAATCCGTTCCGGGAGTCCGTTCGACTCCCAAAACCGTTCGAAAACAGAGGCACGGCTTCCGATTACCTGCAGGAGCTTCCTGCACTCAAGCGAAAGCCACGTCAGACGTTTGGCTTCTGAAAAACTTTCACAAACCGGAACACTTCTGGGTTTGCAGCGTTTGGGAGCCAATTTGTTTGGGAGCCAGGCCATTCAAGTACCAAGGTACCACTGTATTTTTTTTCCAAATTCAAATACATTTGCTGTTGAAATAAATTATCTGTAGTAGCAAATGCAGGCCGGTGTATGAACCGGCTCACACTTCTGCTGAGATCACATTTGAGGAAGGAAAACATTGCATCTTTACACCTCACTGTGGCCTATAAAAACCTGCAAAGCTCTCGGTGAAGTCAGCCAAATGCCGGGTGCCCTGTGTTTTTTTTTGGGGGGGGGCGATCAAGGCAGGTGATGCATCAACCCAATACCTGGCAGGGTTGTTGTTTGTTACCTGGTTCCTCCACGCCAAGTGTGGGTCCTTCCATCAATGTCCTCTTCTGACCTTTGGCTGAACTGTTTTTCTGAACTTTTCCCTCTCTGAGGAAAGAGCAATCAATGGTAGGCATTTTGCCGCTCTCTAGATTGGACTTTCCAAACCCCTGCTAGATGAGCAGGGTAGGGCCCTGGGTTTGCCACAGATGCCTGAATATGGCATAAGATCTTCCTCTTGTCACCTGGAATGCAGGGACAGTCACAACTGTGCCTTTTAAAGGGCAGGTCCCGTGGGTTAAACCACATAGCCTAGGACTTGCCGATCAGAAGGTTGGTGGTTCGAATCCCCGCGACGGAGTGAGCTCCCGTTTTTCGGTCCCTTCTCCTGCCCACCTAGCAGTTCGAAAGCACGTCAAAGTGCAAGTAGATAAATAGGTACTGCTCCGGCGGGAAGGTAAACGGCGTTTCCGTGCGCTGCTCTGGTTCGCCAGAAGCAGCTTAGTCATGCTGGCCACATGACCCAGAAGCTGTATGCCGGCTCCCTCAGCCAATAAAGCAAGATG